AATAAAGGCTTTGAATCCCTCTCAACCCTTGAGATGGAGAAGAAAAAAAATGTGGGAAAACAAATGCAGTATTATCTTGCACTCTGGTTCCTCTGTGCAGCCACAGCAGAGTACAGCAGATCCTAATTGTGCATCCTCTAACATCCAGAAATCTCATTAGAAAGGAATTACAGGATACTGGACCTATGTCTGGGATTTCTGGAAATGCAGCAGCTCTGTTCAGGTGGCTGGGTGTCCAAGAATGCCAAGCACACCCTCTGTGCACATAACAGCTTTGTAACATGCACAGAGGCTGTCCATGTCAGCTGGAAAATATGAGTATAAAGCTGGTGAAGGTCTGGAGCACAGGTCTGATAAGGAGTGGCTGAGGGAGCTGGGGATGTCGAGCCTGGAGAAAAAGGAGGCTCGGGGGAAACCTCATTGCTCTCTATATCCACCTGGAAGATTGTAGCCAGGTGGAGGTTGGTCTCTTCCTCCAAGCAACAAGTGACAGGGCAAATTTAAAACAGACTCAGGTTGGGCCAGGGGAGGCTTAGATTGGGTATTAGGAAATATTTCTTCATGCATAGTGTTGCTAAGTGTTGGAACAGGCTACCCAGGGAAGTGGTTGAGTCACCACCCCTGGGGGTAGTTAATAAATGTATAGATGTGGCAGTTAAGGACATGGTTTAGTGGTGGACTTGGCAGTGCTACATTAATGGCTGAAATAGATCTTAAAAGTGTTTTCCAATCTTTAAGTGACATAATGATAATGATGTTATGATTCCGTAAGTCAAAATGAAAGGATATTTTAAATCAAAGTTACAGAATCTGCTGTTATATTTTCTCACAAAAAACTTGCATGACATTATTGACCCTAAATGAACTCAAGTGATCCTGTGTATTCCAGGGCTTTTCAGAAGTTATATAGCTCTTAATAATGTATGTTTCATGTGGAAGCATGGATTGTTATTCTGACATGGTAATAGGGAACTATATGGTTTCTTCAAGCAACAACAACCACCACCCCCCGTGTTGTGGGAAAGGTGACCTGAATTACTGCCAGTGCAATGAAAGTAACTTCAAGTGAACTTGAATGATCACTGACCAGACCTGAATTCCTAGAAGAGTAACAGAAAACACAAAAGCAATGAAATTATCTTTATTTTGTAATGGTTTTGCTTTCTGTACCAAACTTGCTCATTTGTTTCTCTAGCTCCTGAAGCATGGTATCACTTTTCATGTTTAAAATGAACCCCTATTACTTCAATTGAAATGAAAGATTGTAAAAATACAACTTTTAATTATTAAACTATACATAAAGAGTTCAACTTCTTGTACTTCAAATCCTCAGAACCTGTTTACAAAGAGGCTTTGAAAATGGAGAATCATCAACTATATATGACTTACTCAAAAAAATCTACAGAAATAGCCATACTCCCAAGGCTCTTGCTACCTTTTCCCTGTTCTAAATGTAAAAGAAGAAAAGACCATTTATCTGACAATTAAAATTTTATTTTTACTGTAGGGAGACATACCCAACCATAATAACACTGCAAATTAAGGAAATCCAGTCTTCATTTTCAATATGAAACAGAAAATACAGGAAACACTTCAAGAAAATTAAATTGCAAACATAAATCTTGAAAAATCTATCAGTAACATTATGACTGCAGGTACTGCCCAGCTCGTATCAATTTGGATCATACTGAAGACCATGACATCATTTTTCTCTGTCTTCCCATTTTTTTCCCCACTAAAAGCTTCTATTTTTTTCAGGTTGAAGACATTTCAACCCTGCTCCCATTAACATTTTTACATCAGCTGGCTGTTAAATCCATATTAATTTTAGTCTGTAAGAAGCAGGGAGGGGGTAGCTCACTCCTGGGCATCTGACAGCAACCCCCTAACCCCTGATAAAAGCATGGAGTGATCTTAGCCTGGATGCAGCACTCAGCACCTCCCAAAACCAGGCTTTTATGCTGCAAGCAAAAGTCTACCTATGAGAAGTGGCTATTTCTGAGGTTACCTAGACTACAAGAGCACTCTCAAATCACTGAACAACACACAGAAATGAGGCAGTCATACAGCTTAGCAGTGGCTGAACATCTTTGGCACAGCATCTTGAGATGTACAGCATCACTTTTACTAAAATATGGATTTAAAATGGAAACCCAGTGACTAGCTGCTAATAGGCTTTGACTAGGTGTGAGTCTTGCTCATTAGCACAAAGGACTTTAAACTAAAGCCAATTAGAGCACCAGCAGAACAGAGGGCACCCAAGCCTGCTCCATCAACTACTGACTGGAGATGAACACACTGATGCAAAAAGGCTCATTTTAAAAACAGATTTAATAGTTTCAGTCAAAAGCTGTTCTCCATGGCACAGCTAATAAATACAGTACAGCTGAGGTGTTCAAGCTGCACTTTAGGAGGAGGCTAGATTTTAACTGTTCATAACACACTGTAGAATCCTGAGGCTGCAAGTGCTGACCAAACTTACACACACTCTGCTTCTGTGTTTACATCAGAGGGGCGCTAACACATAGGTCATTTATGTTGTCTCACAAGACATCTAGCAAAGCCAACTTGGGTCCACAATGAGCAGTGCAAAGGTATGATAAAAAAAAATCAATTTCTAGGAACATAAGTAGTCTACAGTATCCTGTAAAAATAAATTAACTTGAGAGGTAACCATTGCTTGTATGCCATTAAGCATCTCAGTTTACATATTACCTATTTTTCTACAAAATACTAATGTGTCTGGTATTCATCAGGTAAAATGTAATACCTGCTGCAGGTGGATGACAATGAGAGTGATAGAAGAGTATATTTAAAAGTGATTATGAGCAGGAAGCACACGCCAATTATTCTATTGTGTTCTTATTTGTTCTTGAAGATATCTCACTGGAGCATACCACCAGAGATGCTTCAGAAATTATTAAAAAAAAAAAAACAACAAAAAACAAAAAGATATAGCAGTGAAAAGAAAGTTGAAGAAAAGCAATACCTAAATTAAAGGAGTAACACTGAGGGTTAAATGTCATTATGGTGACAGGAATGGAAAGGGCTGACAGTTCAGAAAGGTACAAGAGGTCTGTGATGGGGAGTAACAGAGGTAAATGCAGCCTCCACTACTGTACACAGTGACCTAAGAACTGGATTCATTTCCTTCAGCAGAAAAGGAGCCCAGCAAATCCTCTCCTACAGCTCATCAAAGATTAGTTACAAACACACCCCTTGGAGGAGTTCCCCACATGCTCTGCGCTGTGCAGACCCAATGAGCCCTGTTCCCCCACTGGGAGAGATGTGACAGCCCTGACTGCTTCCCACCATCCTTACCACCAGAAGGGCTTTGTGGCACACAGCTCCAAGGAATTCCAGCCTTTCTTCCTGAGGTGTATTGCCTTGCCTTCACCTCACACTGAAACAAAAACTATCCATTGACACTTCTTGTGACAAAGGAAAACAACAAATTAACCCCAAAAGAATTAGGGAGAAAAGCACATGTCGCTGTAAACTGTTGCATTAATAACCTTAGTAAGTATAAGACATATTTGCACTGGGAACTGTTGAGAAGCAACAGTGCTTTGTGACTCTTCCAACACACAGAATTAGTGTAGAAGTTATGTGGAATATGGGACAGCAAGAATAAGGGAGAGTATAAAAAGAGAATGGGCAGCACTAGTCCCAGCTTTGGCACACTCCACTCTGACTATGGGTAAAACCTGCTGCTGTGCTGCACCTCTGCTTCTGTGCTACGGGGGCACTCTCCTTCAGCTGAGGGAACAAAAGATGGACACAGGGAGCTCATTGAATGTGCTGGGAAGGACCACAGGAAAATGATGTGACACCTGCAAAATTTCTTTTGGATACTCCAGTTACCAGGAAGATATAATAGAAATAGAAATTATGCTTCCCTCCCCACTGTGGTTTTCCTTATAAAATATATTAGAAATACGTCCAACTGCTACCTTCAGAAAGGCAGAGCCTGACATCTCCTCAGAAGGGGACTTTAGAAAGGGGACAAGACAAAACAGCCATTGCATTAATGAAACAGAACAACAGCTCAAGGATTGGATTTGGCTTCCAACAAACACTTCCAGCTGACGTCAGCAGTCAGGCAGCAACAGTGCAGAAAGGCTTTCCTGGCCCCCACTCTACCTCTAAATGGTGGGTGACGTTTTTTGGCAAACTTGGATCCAAATGATTCTTGAAAAAGGCCAGTTACACTCTAGGTACCCACATGAATAGAAGAATATATCCTGGAAAAGGTAATGGATGGTCAGTGAGTGTGGCTTTTTTTCAAGCACAGCACTATCTGTCTGATAAAAACCCAATTCACCTGGATTCACCATGATGATTTTTGGCTTTAGGTGGCTTATATATATATATACATATATACTTCTCAGTATATTAAGCATGAGTACATTGAACACCAACACGTACAGTCATGCCTCGAGCTGGAATGAGAACTACGCTGCAATTTAAAAATTCTGTTCATATGAACAGAGGAGTATTTCTATACACACCAAGCTGGATTCTGTATGCGCAGACAACAAGTTTTAAAAAAAACCCAAAACCACAGATGCACATATAACCGCAGTACGGAACGGGGATAAAGAACCGAAAAATCGCATCTCGGATTTTCATTTACAGCCGGTTTCGGAGGATGGAGAGCTGATTCCTCGCCCTGCCCAGCCCGAGGCCCCGGCAGCGCCCCGGAGGCAGGCGGGGAGCGGCAGCGCCGCGCCGGGCGCTAACAGGTGCTGCGCCCCGAGCTGCGCCGCCAACTTCTCCTTAGCAGCGCTCAGCCGCCTCGTTTTTTCCCTTTTTTTCCTCCTCCTCGCCCTTTCCCCAAGGCGCGGGGCCGCTCAGGTTTACACCCGTGCCGCCGCAACTTTGGAGCAGAGGACCGGAGCGGAAAGCAGAGGAGGGGATGCGCGCCCGCCGCCCCCGCCCGGGCTCCCGCCCGTCCCGTCCCGTCCCGTCCCGTCCCGTCCCGTGCCACCGTCGCGCACCACCTGCGCGGCCATGAAGGAGAGGTCCATGGTGCTGCCGCTGGAGCTGCTGGCGGAGCTGGCGGAGGTGCTGAGGCTGCCGCTGCCGCTGCTGC